ATTAAAGTATAAAGTTAGAATAAATTAGTAAAATTTTAAGGATTATAATATTTTACATAATTTTATTAATAAAAATATCAAAAAATACTATAATTATCAAAATTTTACTAATTTATTCTAACTTTTTGTTCCAAGTAAACTTTTTTAGCACTCAAAAATACATTTAAATTTATTTTTTGTATAAATATATATGTGATAATTGAATTTTTAGCGAATTACTATAAGATTTATATATCATAATTGAATTTTTAGCAAATTTACTTGATTTTGGGGTAGCAAAAACTTCCAAAATTTATGCAAATCAGTTATGACCTATATGAGAGATTTCTGGGGTCCTAAAAAAATTTGGGGTGACTATTTCAATCATTGCAATCATTGCTGTGCCAATAAGAAGATAAGTGTATATGTATGCGTTTGCTATTTTTCAATATATAAAATCTTATCTGCCAACTTTAATATATATAATATAAACTACTAAAACTAAAAGGAAAATTTGATTGTTTTGATCCTAAGTCTGCTCAATTTAGAGTCTGAAAATATAAAGTTAAAAATTGATATTTAAATTAGATTAGATTATTTAACTATGTTTATCCATATAATCTTTAATGCTAATTACATATTTATATCCTTACGCACTTAGTTTATTCCTCCTATAAATTCCTATTTCTACATAATAACAAATAGAATAAATATTACTATTAGTTTTAATATATTCCTCTATCCTACAGAATTAATTTTGCATGCTATGATTATTAACACTTAAAAAAACTATTTATATATTGATATGATTAATGAAACTATAGTAATATTATATAATACTGATTTTTAGTATACGTATAAATCATTATAAATGCTATATATCTTTTTTATTATGAATATTATATACATACAGTATATATATCTATATATTAAAATATAAAATGTGGCACATTGTGCCACGTGTGATGCTAGTTAAATATTATTTAACGTTAAGGTTTCCGACTCTAATTACTTAGTATGTTTTTAAAAATAGCACCTATGGTGTTTAGCACTATGTGCATATATATATTAGTAATAAATAATATAAATCAAAAAATTTTTAAAAATTCATAAATTTTATTATTATAGATAAAATGTTGAATATTTTTTTTTTTTTTTTTTTATTCAGCAAAATAAATGTTATACATTTTTGTAAATCAAATTTTTTAATAATATTGAAATCATATTTTACGCAAAATCAACACGTCCCTAACCTATGACTTTAGACATTTAAATGAATAGTAGAAATCTAGAGCTAGTTACGTATTATGTATATAACCACATGATAATTAGTTAACATCTGAAATTTGTTATAGATTACTGGAATCCAAATCCTGTTGTTCCTTCCGAAATTGCTAATAATAACTGCGACCTTAACTGCTCGTAATCTTCATATTCGGGAATATCCAATTGATTAAAGCTATTTATAACGAAACAAATGATAAGTTATTATTGGCCTTAAAGTTGCATCTTGTAATAGATCATGAACTTACCATGTGTGAGCAGAAGGGAGACGGTCTGGGCTTGAGAAATCTTTATGAATCTGGAATTTTTGAACTCCATGAACACCCTGTAATGCAGAGAAGCCTTCCAATGGTACCTTGGATGTACCAGTAACGAATTGTAAGAGTTTTGCCCTCTCTTCTTGACTAAAGCTCCGTACAGCTCTCCAGAACCATTGTATTTGAGGAGACGATGATGTATAGTTCTGATATTCTGTGTTATTTTTCCAATCATCAATATCAATATCTGGCATTCCTGATATAAGTAGTTCTAATTCTTGCTCATTAAATATACTGATCAAATGTGCAGGAATAATTTCATGGAAGCCAGCAAGGAAATGCTCTATTTGATCTTTAATCGCCAATGTAAGTCTTTGTTCTGTAACGAGCATAACATATTCTCGTTTATTTTCATCTGTCACCGTAATATTACTGCCATTAGGTTTCAAATCAACAACTTTCTCTTGACCAAAATCGTTAGTTACTACACTAAATGTTAAGTCAACAACATTTGTTATATCATTATTTAACATCCATACAAGACTATTGTAATATTCTAAATCAATAGCTTCGACATCTCGATAATCAACAGGTTTTCCAAGAATATGTTTATAGAATGAGCGAGTAAAGTATGCGTCTAAAAGTCTGCCGTCATAAATTGCTTTACCAATGACACGACCAACAAACTTAAAGAATGATAAATGTTCTGGATTTGCATCTGATGCTCTATTTGGCTGATAAGTTAATCGATCTGCCGCTGAGGTCTTAAACAGTGCGTAATTCTCATCAAACATTTGTCTAGCAAGAACTTGGAACCATTCTCTTGTCACTCCACCGGCATCTACACCTTCTTCCTCATAGAAACGAACACTAAGTTTACCATATTTAATTTCGTCTCCCGTTCTTCTTTGCAAGTTTTGGTAGGAATCTTCAAATACATACTGCCTACGAACGTTGAGTTGTAAAGTACCATAATGATCACGACCATTTGTTCGTTTGTGAAGTTGTTGGTTAAAATAGTTTCGTTTGTTGTCAAATTCAAGAATCTTTGGATTATGTACAAGTAATGAAAATGATCCACTCATTAATGATGGATTATTTCGGACCATCGTATTAAGAATCTTTCGATGATCTTCGGTAAACGTAAAGAATAGTTCTTCCATGCCTTCGGAAGATGATGATTGTGGTTCGGGTGATGTTATTTTTTGAGTAGTAGAAGGTGCCATTCCCACGTATTTACATACAACCATAAGCGACTCTATGAGTGGCAAAAGAACAGTTGCCACATGAATCATATCAGGTTTTTCATGTATAGTAGTCAAACATTTTCCGAGTTTTTTCCAAAGTTCGGTAAATTTAAGACTATCATAAATTATCATAACCTTTTCTTCATCTTCGGTCAGTTTAGAACCTCTACCACCATCCAACAATGTTCTTGGCGCCACAACATCAACTTCGTCCGGATCTACCGTAGGGGCTAATGATACTTGAGCATTTGTTGAAGTAGTAGTTGTTGATTGTTGCTTGCGAGAATACATATAATCGATGGTCTTGAGAACACGTAACAATTTTGCCTGTTGTGATGAAGATGGTGAAAATTTGGCCAAGGTGACACCCTGTACATCAACACCAGTGTCTGCCTTTTGCAAGATTTGAGCCAACTCATCCAGATCATCAAGTATATCATTCCCAAGCGATTGAGCTCGGTCAACTAATTCTGATGTAATAACATCACGAGCTCCATTTAAGGTCGAAAGATGTTGAATAACTGTCAGTGTATATTTAAATGTGTTGCTTGTACATTCACCAGCAGTAAGAACGTTAACTACCAAACGCAAACAATAATCAGGTATAACTGGAGGTTTTAGAACAGGTTGAGCTGGTTCTGATGATGTCGAAGAAGAAGCTGTCGCTGGATTTCGAGAATCTTCATTTGCAGAAGCTCCTGAAGTGGTTGTGTTATTATTAGTTTCGGAGGTTACATTGTTGTTATTTTGTGGTGGATCATTATTCGTTTCCGAAGTCTGAACCGAGTTATTATTATTATCATTACTATTATTATTAGCATTGTCCTGAATAATATTGGATTGTGTTGAATTATTATTTTGGCTATCGGATCCAGTAGGTTGGCCAGAATTATTCTCGGTATTAGTACTTTGTGTTGCTGATCCAGTATTATTATTATTATTATTTGACTGCCCACCAGAATCTCCATCAGCATTGTTAGAATCTGTCTTTGTCAATGTAGATAAAGGACGTAAAACGAACGAAAGTAAATGCATTAACTGATCCATTAATGCGGTATTTTTAATAAACACTTGACGATCGAGTAGACTTAGTAATATCACTACAGGATATTTGCTTAACGCCTTTGCTTGTTTCTCTTTACCTTTTCTGCTATTAGATCTCTTAAGACCAATGTTATTATCATGCTCAATCAAGAAATACGTAACAGAGGCTTCGTTGTATGTTACAATGTATGTTAACGCTTCTAAACATCGTTGTGCAATTAAATTTGGTACATTTTCACCGGCAGCTTGTGTTATTTGTGCTAGTGACGAATTTGGAAGACTTGATTGCCTTCTTGGTGTCCCTTTAAGCGTTCCCTTACCCTTTAAAGACATTTGAGCAAAACTTTTATCGACTGCAGTAACATCTCCGCTACCATCGAAAAGAACGGATAATAACATTGAAATTAATTCACCACGTGTTTTGCTATTTTCACAAAGATTTAGTAATAATTTATGCAATAAATTTTTATTGCCCAAAGGTTGAGGAAGGAACAAAAGTCTGACTAAAGTAGCTAATCCCGGGGTGTCAACAAGTTTTACCGCGTCACGATGGATTGAAGGTTTTTTAGGAGCTTGAATTTGAGGTGCAGTTAATGTTCTTGATCGTACTGCGTTTGTATACCTGCGGCTAGCTCTTTCTCGTAGCGCGTTAGCTTCAGCAACTATTGCTGGTGGCAATGACGCTAGAACCATCTCGTCTTGTTCAAGAAGAACTGTTTGTCGTAATTGTGGATCCAACGAAGCGAAGAAACTTGCAGTGTCCATTTCAGCGGCAGCGGGTTCCGAAGTTCGCTGACGAATAATTCTTTCTTGCTCAAGTGCTTCTTCTTGTTGAATAATTTCTTCTCTAAGGTCATCTGGAAGAGCTGCAAGAAATTCGGGACTAATAACATCACCAGCTCCACTAGTAACTGGAGGCCTATTACGTCTTTCTGGTGGCAAATGCTGATTAAGTACTTCCTCTCGAAGCTCGTTAGGTAATGCTTCGAGGAAGGTTGGGTCTATACCGGTGTCGGTAATATCCACAGGACGACCATTAACTATAACTGTAGTTCTTGTTGTTTGGCCTTCACTTGAGCCTTCAACTGTATCTCCAGCTGCCCCTTGAGATTGACTGTTATCTGGAACAACTGAAGGTCCTTCTTCCATATTAAGATCTGTTGTAACGGGAGCTGGTTCATCTTCCATCTCTACAGATTCCCCTGCCCGTTCTTGCTCTTGTTCTTGCTCTTGTTCGACTATTGGCGCATCTTCTTGCATGGGATCAATAAGTTCAATTACTTCAGTAACTTCAGTAACTTCAACTATTTCGTCATTATTTGTTATTGTATCAGACATTGATTGTTCAGCTACGGTTTCTGGTTGAGGAACTGCTGCTGCTTCAGCTTCTGCACGAAGTCTCAACTCTTCTTGTTCTTTTCTCCGTCGTTCAGCTTCTTCTTCAGCTTTTATTCTTTCCTCTTCTTCACGTTGCCTCCTTTCTTCTCTTTCCCTTTCTTCTCTTTCTTTTCTCTTTTTTTCTTCTTCCAATGCATATGGAACCAATGCATTATAAACATAGTTAACAAGTTTTGTGGCTTTTTCGGCTACTGAACTGCCATACATCATACGTGCTTCATCGTACCATCGTTGCCCAGTTGAATGAGGCTTAAATTCTTGAACTGCAGTAATGGGATCACTTGGTGGTGTCATATTTTGATTTTCTTGACCACTAGATATTGTTCTGGGAAAGACACGGTCAACTTCAATGCCACTCACTAACCCTGATGATCCAGTATTTAATTCAAGTCTATATGTAGATGAATGTCCTAAACCTCGGCTTCTAGTTAACAATTGCTCTAATAATTGAACCGCTCCACCACCGATTAATTCCTCAATTGATTGTGTCCAATCACCCAAAGGCCCATTTCTAGCACTACGTCCTCTAGTAAGTTCAACGCTAGCAACAGAAGGAACGGTTGGAGATCGATTAACAAGTAAAGGATGAGTGGTAATGTCATCATTAGCATCGGGTAATGTTCTGTTATTGCGCCACAATCCGGAATTGTCCACATCATCATTTGTTCCAAAATTAAACCCATAACCCACAGGATCACCAATAACATAGTCAAGACCTTCGGGTGGAACTTCTAGAATAGTTCGACGACCAGGTATATGCCTATGACGTCTGTTGCCAAAGCTGAACAAAGCACGACCTGTTCTATTTGGTATACCAAAATCGTCATCATTCATGAAATGTGTTCCGGGTTGATTCCAAGCCCAATTAAAGTTTATGCGATCATAACCATCATCGATTACATCTCCACTATCTAATACTACATCGTTTTCTTCGACGTCGTCGGCTTCGTCGTCATCATCTTCCTCTTCGTCATCATCATCTTCATCGTCATCTTCATCTAACATAATGTCTCTGTCCGCGCCGTCATCATTGCCACTAAAACGGTCATGTCGACGGTGTCTATGAAGCTGTCCTTCCGCATCAATAATTTCTTCGACAATATCACCACGTTCTATCATAACTTGATCATGAACATCCCACATTTCTTGGTCATCATTACCTCTAACATGGTGTCCTTCATCATCACTATCATCCTCATTCTCTAAATGCTGATTTACTCCATGCTCAATTTCAGAGTCATGATCATCATTCCCTTCATTATCTAATACGACGGAGTGACCATGGATTGGTTGTCTAACTACTATTTCTACGTCCATGTCGTCACCATTATCATCATCACCCTCATCTAAATCGTCATCATTGCTAACATCACTAAGATCACTACCAGTTCCTTCATCGAATTCACCATCATCGTATCTTTGTTCGTCAACTGACGAGTCTAAACTATCATCATCCATTTCATCACTATCAACTCTACCTTCTAGTGCTCCAAGTACAGAAGTTGCATATAAATCAGGTGCGTCCTCAGTTTCTGGGTTCATTTCATCGGCAGATGGTGTAGATATGGAAGAAATACTATCATGACGTTGTTGCTCTTTGTTAGGAGCTTCAGGTGATCGACCCAGTTTAATAGCAACTTTTGTAAGGCATTCAAAAGGTTTTAATAAAGCATTGATCAAGATTCTTGCTGAAGGGTAATTGAGGTCAACTTCTGCAAGTGCATCTGTTAAAGTATTTACAAAGTTTTTATCCAGCATTAATTTGGCGATACTAGCGGGACCATCTTCAATTGGTTTGTTAGCAGTGGTGTTAGGACCAGTACGTGAATTCAATATAGCATAGCATAACTCTGCCAAAGCTAAGAGCCTTCCGTATTTTGTTTCTATAGGATCTGATGAAGAAATTGCAGTCCTAAATGATTTAATTATACAATCTAAAACGAATTTTCGCACTTGTATAATTTCCGGCTGTGGTTTCTTATCATCGACTTCACTACTAATATTAGAACATAGCGCCACAAGCGCAGATGTTGTCCATTTGGATTGTCCATAACGCTTTCGCATTTCAATATTAGTAGATGGTGTTATACAACCGTATGGCAACAACTCATTCAGGAGATAGTACAGTAACGAAGTTTTTGATTTCGATTGAGTGCCAGATCCCATACTATTTCTGCGGCGTGAAAGATTCACAACTTCAATTTTACATGAAGGATATGATGATAAAAGTTCAGTTAAACATTGAAGTAAGAAGCATCGATACAAATAATCTAAATGTTCTTCAGGCTTGAATGCAGATTGGGGAGTACTTGTGCTATTTGTAGAGGTAGAGGTTGTTGCTGCAGAATTAACATTTTCATTTCGATCGTTTGAATTAGTCTCAGGCACCTTTGTATCTAAAGTTTGAATCTTTTGTAGACGTGTTGCGACCAGTTCGTTTGCAATAAACTGAACGATATTTTCAGCTGTTTCTGAACCAAATGAAAATTTTTTGGGAGATCCAAGTGAAACAGATGTCGATGGTACCGGTAATGCATCTGTCATCTCTTCTTCGTTAGTGACAGAATCTTTAGTTGTGATCGAATCTTTAGTTGTGGAAGTGCTAGTGTCTTCAGTCTCTGGTTTAATCAATGTGATTTGTTGACTACGTCCGCTAGAATCATATCTTGCTAACTTGCATAGTTTTTTAGTGGATTTAATAAATATTTCAGGCGCCCTCAAAGCAAATTGTGCGTTATTTCGTAAATATGCACTGATATCACTACCACGTGGGCGTGGATTGGCAAACCAATTTTTTATTTCTTTATCAATAATTGATTCTAAAACTGAATCATCCTCAAGGGCGTGCCGTAATATCATGACAATGAATATCTGTTGTCCACGGAAATCATGGGCCCTCGACTTGAATGCATTGAAAAGTAAATTCAGACCATCTTTGTTTACAAACTCGATGGCATCTGAATAACGACGAGTAAGACGTACTACTATCCTAAGTAATGCATTGATAATGTCTTTGTCCAAATCTTTTCTCTTCAATAATGATAAGCAATATTCAAGGAGCTGAATTCGCGATTCAGCTTTAACGAAATTCAAGCCGTTCAAGGAAGTATTAATGTCTTTTGATTCATCAGGTTTTGTAACTAATTCAGTGCCCACTGGTTCCTCAGATAAAGAAATAAACGCCTCAATAACTAATAAAGCAGGCGCAATCCATTTAGGCAAAGGACTCTCTAAAGGTAACCCAGCTTGCTCAGAAACCATAGATGTCATATCAGAAAATATATTAAAAGGTAAATTAGGAATTTTTCCTTGTATACTATTCTCATTCAATAAAAGAGCTAAAAGACGTAAACGAGAATTAAGTGCCTTTTTGCGTTGTTCTTCTGGATGACCACCAACTGTTTCAATGCTTTTTATTATTAATTCAATGTTCTGTTCAGCATTGTCTTTGCTAAGAAGTACAAATAAGTCTTTCACTTCAAAAATAATGTCCTCAACTGCATCGAGAAGTTCAAGTGCACGAGATGCCGATGTGGATCTCAGCTCATCTCTAAGGGTTTTAAATCTGTCTATATAGTCAACTTCTTTCCCTTTACCTTTGTCGGGTTTTGTTGACGTAGTTTCAGTTTCCATAGGAATTGAACCCTCGCTCGTAGTAGCACCTTCTACAGGAGTTTGATTTCCTTGCATTGATAAAGCAAGCGCTTGAACTAGATCATTAGAACTATCATCTTCATTATCAGACACGTCATCATCGTCGTCATCATCATCTCCAGATGTACCAGTCACATCAATTGTGGATCCTGCATCAGTGGGTGCATTACCTCTTGTTGAGGTTGTATCAGACGGATTTCGGCCTGTATCAGTAGATGGTGCCGATGAGAAAACTGTCGCAGCAATAGTTTGAGGATGCGTAAGCAAATAGTCTGTAGCAGCTTGAACATGATTATTGCAACGTATGAGCGCAGTTTCGGCTGATGAACGCGGGAAGCCCATATCAATCAATTGTTGAACTCGTTCTTCGTCTGGTACCAAAGATCTAGTAGCACCAAATAGTGTAGAAGTAGGTGCCGATAATCCACTTGATGATCCTGATCCCTCGGGGCGCTGATTAACCTCCCCGTCTCCTTTTAAAATTTGAACTAAATTTTGAAGAACAGATCGAACAATATTTGGAGGAGCTTTTGGAAGATAGGTACTTTGCCAAAGTTCATTTATTACAGGAAGAATTTTTGCTCGAACGTTCACAATAAAATTGAAGGGATCGAAGGGTTCATTACGCGGATCTCTGTCTTTAGTGGTCAATGGTACTGTTTGAGCTGACTCATGTAACAACTTTGATGATCCAACAAATTGGAAAAAGTTGAGTGTAACATCAATGCATCCGTGAATTCGTGAAAGCCTTTCTTTAGACTTTTCATCAACTTCAATTGTTGAATATTCTTCAAAGGCTTTAATTTCCTCAGCCTCACTCCAGAACTGGCGTAAGAGTGTGAACACCTCCTCCAAACCCTTAACACGATCAAATGAAACAACAAGCATTGTTTGAAGTGAAACTTGACTCCGTTCTAAAAGGTGAGAAAAAAATGTTTAATTTATGCAAGTAAAAAAAAAACAACGTTTCATAATAGTAATAATAAATATGCCATCAACTTACCATCCAGGAAAAGTAGTGATAATAATCCGAGCATTATCGTAAGATAATTATATTTATTTGTAGAGTCAGTTTCGCTGTCAAGCCCTGTAATAAACGAAAATAAGTAAAATATACAAAAAAAAAATCGAAATTCAAGATAAAACATATAGTACCGTATCGAGGCCATGTTAAATGATCTCGGAGAACTTCTGCAATAGCATCTGAAATTTTGAAAGCCTGTTTTTTTTGTGAGGCATCAGGAGATTTTCGACTAAACAGCATTTTTGCTAAACCTAAATACAAATCAATAAAATTCATTTAAAATAAATTTTTAAAGTAATTGGCGAATATTACTATTAAATACACCATTATGAATATACCTTGGAATAAGGGTGTAAGGCAAGAAGGAATTTGGGAAACCAAAAACTTTAGGCATTTGGCATTTTTCACTTTACGATTATTTTGGTCAACGGGTGGCTCATTTGAATCTGTAGTTTCTTTATCCGAGTCATCCAATAACGCAGATGTTAAACTTGATGATGATTCAGGAAAATGTGAAGGTTTCTTTGTTTTTGACGGGAGATTATACCAAGATTTTGGAACGGATGATTTCAAAATTACATTTTCCCAAACACAGACTCTATAAAACGAATATTGACAATTTAAAAAGCTATTTTAAGATCAACTTTGTACATAAAGAAGCATAAGATTTACCGATGAAGTTTTCCGAGTGTTGGTAATACATCATTGTCAGTTCCAATAAAAGCATCAATCACTGAAGATGCACTTTTACCGTGTGAAAATACTGGTGTACAATACACATCAGATAGCAACCCAACATATCCATGAAGTGTAATTAAGGTCCTGAACGTGTTGTTTGCTTCTTCTATTTTTGTTGTATCATTTTCTAAAAAGAACAAAAAATATTTATATTTGTTCATATTTTGTATCACACATACATCCGATAATTAAATTTTATACTACCTTTTAGATCAATATATTCTGAGAGAATTCCCTTTCCTTCGTATGATAGAAAATTTGTCGCTCCCTGAAGTGTTTCATTAAGGGCACCAACAATTGCAGAAATGCTTCGCTTTGGATCTACATCTGCAATAACTCTCATTAAATGTGAAAGAGAATATGAAGCTTGAGAACAGCCAAATTCATATGGTAAAACTGGTAATGCATAAAACTTTAAAATAATGTTGAGCCCATTTTCCTGTTTTAAAAATTCTTTGCAATGATTTTGTGTTTGAAAAAGACCTTCCAAAAACTAAATATAATGATATTTTATTAGTAAATTGTTAAATGGTATCAAGTAAATTAAAATGTAATACATACTCGTGCTGCAATTTCAATGAACGCTACAACTGTATTTTCTTTTTTCTCATCTGTTTTATTCTCATCTGATTTAGTATTATCAGAGTCTGACATTTTTGTGTCAATTGGTCCATCTAAAATTTCTGAATTAACAACTTGATCATCATCACTGCCTGCGTGCAATATACTTGTACTGTCTTTAATTGACGAGCTATGACCGAGTTCAATAATGCGCTGAAGAGTGGTCATTATCGCGTTCATGATACTTTGCTTTAAGCTTGGGTGATGTCGCATCAATTCATCGATTGAAGTTCCCAAAACTGATGCAACATCCGAGTCTTGAAGCGAACGCAAATGTTCTTCTGATGTAAAAATAGTAAAGAATTTGTCGATTGGACTCATCTGGTTAAAAAGCTGGTTAAAAATTTCCATCCCTTGAGCATTTAAGCAAATAGCGCCGAACGCATTCGGAATTGATTGAATCACCTATAAAAAAAAAAATAAAAAAATTAATTTTGCGCTTTTTATATTACATTTTAAACCTTGTAAACTCACATCAACTGAAGCTGGAATTTCCTTAGAAATAGAATTTAAAAATGTTTGTGGAAGTCTGGCTTCCTGCATAATCGGGAGCGAAGTAGGCTCATTATGTATGAATGTAGCGATCAAGTTGATGGCTATATAAAGAAATAGGACATTAATGAAATAAACATAACGGCATATTCCAAAAAACAAAATAATTAAAATAAATACCTAGTGCATATATGCTGCTACCAAACACATTTGGCTGTTCAAAGACCTTTTTCAACGAATCTGGTAGTGAAGTGTCGATAAGATTGCGCAGACCATCTGCAGTACCAGAGGCTTGCATCATATGTAAAACGAACTTTAACATTGACTTGAGCAATGATGCCCGTTCATAAGGAAGAGAAATATCGTTTTCAATAGTGACAGACTCTCCGACTAATAAATAATAAAAATTAGTTACATACATAGAGGTCATAAAAAAATGCTACTTTTACTACAATACCTTCTGAGGATGATCCTGCAGATGCAGATGCATTTGCGATTGTGATACCTTCCATTTGATTGTCTCGAGCGTCTTTAACAAGTTGTATGCCATTATCAACTTCTTCCTAATAAATTGTAATATATCGCAATTAATATAATTAAACTAATGTTAATATAGCACTAAAGTTCTCTAACATTAATAGCATACCTTAATTCTATCAACTAATACACGGACACCATTAGCATTACAAAATGAAGTAAATGACGTGTTGAATCCATAGACGAGACTGTCCAGGATAAAAACTGCTTTTGTCACATTCTATTAAAGTTGTATAACAGTTTAGATAAAGGTCTATTATAGCTGTTAAACCTAATTAAAAACTTACTTTTAATTGATGTGAATTCTTATTGTTAAGTAACTGCAAAAGTGTTGGAACAATTCCGGCTGATATAACCATCGTTCCACCGGTTTGTGTAGTAATGATATAAGATATTAATGCGAAGAGGGCATCATAGTATTCTTGAGGGTATATGGCTAAATATAACAAAGATATTTTATATATTATGTAATATTATCATAAAAAGTATCAAAATACTCGTAAAAACGATAAAATACTAACGATTATCGCGCTCTAGATCCGCTATAACCCTTCGCAAGACATAAAGGAGAATGCCATGATTTGCAGAGGCATTTATGGCTGTTAAAACTTCACCAAGCTTCGATCGATATCTACTAATCCCATCCAAAGCGTAAAGTGCAACCGTTTGAATATCCTAAAGGTTGTTGAACGTATGTTATCACATATTGAGAAATTGAAAAATTAAATAAAAAGTGGTACACACAAATGGCACGTTTCGATCTGGGTGAACTAGCTTAGCAAGGTTTGCAACAATGTCTGGTTCATATAAGAACAATTTAGACTGAGCAACATGTTCGGGGATAACGTGAGCTAAAAAAAAAAATAATGAGCACATAATTTTTAATATATTCGTTTGTGAATAGCCAGAAATATACAATGAACAAGAATAACGTACCCATTATGGCAACGGCAAGTAATCGTATTATTAAGAGTCTTCGCCTGGCATCAGTCGTTGAAATGCTGGTGACAATTCGAACTCGATTCAAAAGGGCAAAGTGAAATTCTTCAGGAACATTATAATCCTGAACAACAGTATTTAAAATGTTCATATCTGTTTCTCCCAGTTGACGAACATTATTCATAGAAATTAAGGTAACGCCTTCTCCAGTTTTGGTTCCACTCGAACTTGATGCACTATCTTTTCTTTGACTTTTCTGAGACTGAGTAGGAGTGGTGGCATCATTTTTCTTGTCCACTGTAGTTTCAGCAGCTTCCGATGGGGTTAGATGCCGATAAAACTGATAATTTAAAGTAGTCAACTCTTCTGGAATAATTACATCATCAGATGAAAGATGTTCCATTTCAAGATCGTATTCTTTTGTGCCCCAACTGTGAGCCAACGTTAAAATGCGTTCAGGAGAAATGGTAAAATTGGTGCGGAGTGCTCGCTGATTACTGAGTCGTTGTGCAGGTCGAAGAATCAAACGCAACAAAACCTCTAAAACATCCAAATCGCTTGTATATAACAAGTCATTAAGATGCTAGTTGAAAAAATTATTGGTGTGAAATAAGTATAATTTGAAATTGTTAAAAAAATACCATTTTTTTTAATTAGCATACCTCATAAGAACTGTACAAATTTCTATTCGTGCAGTTTTCTAACAACACCCGCGAAAATTTCAATATTGCCACTAATACGACGCGAACTCCCTCTGAGAATTTTGATGTTTGCAACTTCTTCAAATTATAATTTTTACAGATATTTTCGAGCATAGTATCAAACCGATTCAGAACACCGATCCAATGAAAGAGATCTCCCCGTGGATAGCTCCAGTCGATAGCTGACTCTACTATTTTTGGTATTTCTTCTTCGTGACATTCGCTGAGTTTTTGTATAAGATTTTTGATCGGTGGTATCTATATAATTCAGTAGAGATAAAGTATGAAATTTAACCGTCAGTATATTCTAATAATAAAATATTTATTGATCAAAAATCACAATAAAATTAACTTTCAGCATATGAACAATATATTTGTGGTATTAACAGCGCTGTTGAACATTGAAAAAAAAACTTTTGATCATACTAGCTGTAATTACACTAGTTTACTGGTAGCGTGCCTTTTACACAAAATCACTATCTTCCATATATAAATGACTAAGAATAAAGAGCAATCGATTGAATTCGCTCCTACAAAGTAGAAACTAAAGATTTAATTACCGGTGCCACCAATTTCTTTGGCGGAGATTTCTTAATCTTCATGGTACTGCTTGATCAAGCAGACTGTAAATATGATATATGGTTAATTTAAGTTTTTCTAATATCGTTAAACGGCTTTTGGCAAGCGTGTTCGTGGAAAGCGAAAGAAACAATCAGAAGGTGATTTGAGGAATTAGTTTCCCAGCCTCTGAGGGAACAGTCGATTAAGAGCAATGGTTGATTAAATCGGCTTTGTAGCAAGTTATATAAGGTAATTGCTTAGGTGACATCATAGATATTGTTATAGACAAATGATACGCTTACGTACCCTCGTAACATAAATCTAGAAACTAAAGCGGAATCTCGGAGTTATGTGTAATTCCAGTCATACGAATCCCGATGCAGCCAATTTTTTTTTATAATTCCAGCTAGACTAGACTAACACGACAACACATCATCACTCTTACCAAAAAGGACTTCATTTCTGTGTACGCACATGATGTAGCCGGGTAATGTTGGGCTTGCAATTTTTAATTAGATATTATTAGAATTTTTGAAACTTTGTTTTGTAGTCTAATAGTAATATAAT